CCTACGTACTCAGAACCAAAAAGTGTAATTCAGGCCGAGAATCAACCCTAAACATCCCCAAACCCCAAACACCTCCAACCGAATTCTCTGACCCAGCGGCTGCCCCGGTGCAGGCCCCAGAGGACGTACACAAGCAGGACACCGGCCTACGTGGAGTTTCGGGCTGAGGGCTTAGGGTTGCACGGGGTCAGTGTAGGGTGCAGTACCGAGGCTGTTTGGGCAGAGGTTTAGGGTTTAGGGTTTAGGGTTTAGGGTTTGGGGTTTAGGGTTTAGGGTTTAGGGTTTAGGGTCTAGGGCTTAGGGTTTAGGTTTTATTGGGGGGGCAGTTTGTAGTCAAATCTGCGGAGGGATGATTAGAGAACATTTCTACACGATGCAGGGCCATGCAACAGCTTGACCTTTCTTACCAAGCTACTTGTTAGAAGTACTTACCGGTGAACCTCTCGAGTGTGGCCTGACAATCTCAGGTCCAAGGCTCTTTCAGGCCTTGTGGGTTTAGGGTTTGGGGTCTAGGGTTCAAGGGTTTAGGGTAGTCCTGTCCGCGCCGGCCAACGCCAGGAGTTGAACCTCAACGGCTTTGACAGACGGGCGCAGCATTGGTAGGTCTCTTCCGATGCACATCCAGCAAATCCACTGCGGGCAGGCAAAGCAACCAGGTCGCGTGACTCGAAGTGGCGGGCGGAGAGAAGGGGGTGCGCCAGAGGCAGTTCCTGGTTGCAAACACAACCACATCGTGTTCCCGCTGAAGGTGAGAGCATGCGTGCCTTGGGAGTGTACTGTCGGCAGGTGCGGTGAGGGGAAGACCGGCGCCCGCACTCCACTGGACAGCATGCTCTGCTACAACCCCCTCTATACTTACAATACAAGCACGAGACTCACTCTCTTAGGTGGCACTTCAATATATGGACCCCTTACTTGCGGAACCCTCTGAACCTCAAGGGCCTGTACTTCAGAAACCTTTAGAGAAGGGAAGGGACCGACCCTACTAAGGGACTATGCAATTCCCCTTAGACGTTCTAGTTCGGCCCCTATATCATAGGGGGCCTTAAGGGAGGGGGGTTCAAGGGTATTATGTAACCCAAGGTTCCCGAATACTCCCCACTCCTTAAGCTTCTCTAAGGTTTTGCAAGGTACCTACCCTAAACCCTAAACCCTAAACCCTAAACCCTAAACCCTAAACCCTAAACCCTAAACCCTAAACCCCAAACCCCCACCCCCCCCCCATCCCCCATTGAACCCCCCACCCTTAAGAACCCCATAGCTGTATTATGCCTTTCTGGGGCCGCGGATCACATCCAAGCCTGTGCCTGTCCCTCAACCCAGGTTGGGGTTGTGGGTTTAGGGTTTAGGGTTTAGGGTTTAGGGTTTAGGGTTTAGGGTTTAGGGTTTAGGGTTTAGGGCTAGGGTTTAGGGTTTAGGGCTTCGGCCTGAACCCTGAACCCTAAACAGCAACTATCCCGAAGCCCTAGACGCCTAAAGGTCCTAAGTTTAAGGGCCCCCTGCAATCGTGCACTTACAAACCCTTATATAAGCCTACACCTTGATGCCCAGAACCCCAGCCAAAAATATTTGAGCCATTGAGTCTTAATCCTGTGCCCCAACCCCGTAGTTGCAACCCCAAACCCTAAACCCTAAACCCTAAACCCTAAACCCTGAACCTTAAACCCTAAACCCTGGGTTATTTAAGGTTTTGGGCTTGGGGTCCGGGGTTTGGGTTCAGGGTTTCGGCCTGAGCCCTGAATCGAAAAACCCGGCCTTCCAGCCTGCCATCTGTGTGGCGGCCAGTGCCCTTGGGGTCAATTGCGTGCTTAAAGGGTAAGGACATTCGGAAGTCAGTGCTTCAAATTGTTGGTGGTCTGTAGGGTTTAGGGTTTGAGGTGTAGGGGGTGTAGGGTTCCGGGTTTAAGGTTTAAGAACTTAAGAGCTCGAGGGTTTAGGGCTTTAGGGGTTTAGGGCTTCAGCAGTCCTTAGAGCTACTGGTATTCATAGGTGGGAGGAGCCCTTACATGTCGGTTTAGGGTTTGGGTCTAGGCAGGCTGCAGGGTAGGTTGAATGAACGCCTTAAACCCTAAACCCTAAACCCTAAACCCTAGACCCTAAACCCTAAACCCTGAACCCTGAACCCTCAACCCTAAACCCTAAACCCTAAACCCTGAACCCTGAACCCTAAACCCTAAACCCTAAACCCTGAACCCTAAACCCGAAACCCTAAACCCTAAACCCTAAACCCTGAACCCTGAACCCTAAACCCTAAACCCTAAACCCTAAACCCTAAACCCTAAACCCTAAACCCTAAACCCTAAACCCTAACCCAACACGTCACACATGAAACATGTCCCAAGGGCCGACCTAGTTTAGAGTGCAGGTTGGGATGTCGGGTTTAGGGTTTAGGGTTTAGGGTTTAGGGTTTAGGGTTTGCCCCTTATACTAACAGTCCTCCGATTATCACAAGGAGTGGTACGAGTATCCCTATGAAGGACTGCTAGTATAAGGCGGGAACATCCCAACCTTAAAACCTCAACCCTAAACCCTAAACCCCTAAAATCCCTAAACCCTACGTTGAGGACTGTGAGTAGAAGGGGCAAACCCTAAACCCTAAACCCTAAACCCTAAACCCTAAACCCTAAACCTAAAGTTCGAAGCTTCGGATCTTTGAGGAGGCGTAGAGTGGGGACATTTCTTTTGAAGCGGCTTGGGCTCTCGGCCCTTAGGGTTTCCTCCAAGCCCTAAACCCTAAACCCCAAACCCAAAACCCAAAACACAAAACCCAAAACCCAAAACCCAAAACCCTAAACCCTAAACCCAGCCAGGGCTCATTGTGCACAGGGCGGCCTCAGTTGTGTTTGGGGAGGGAATGAGGTACCCTATATCCCCCCCTATACGTACCCCCTTAAAGGATTATATAGGGTACCCTATACCCCAATATATATATATATATATATATACTATACCCTTTAAGGGATAAGTCCCTCATTCCCTACTAACCAACAGCAAGAAAAAGGGGGCTCAGGGCCGACAAACGGTGGGGGGCTTGAGGTGGTCAGGTTTAAAAAGAAAGAGGAGGGGATAGGATTGGGGGGACCCTTGGGGATACAGACCCTCTGAATAAGGTCCCTTGTTAAGAGAGCCAGAAGAGGGTTAAGAAGGGGTTCCCTTTTCAGGGTCCCCCTTATCCCACCTTAGGCTGTAGCTAGGCCCAAGAGTCAGCTAGGAATAACTAGGGGGGCCCTGTTTGGTTTAAATGGGGCTTAGAAGGAACCCTAAACCCGAAACACAAAAAAAGAGACAAACAGGGCCTGCTCGGGGTCCTAGGTAGGGCTTGGGCCTTTCTAACTGTATGGGTCCCGCCTAGCTTAGGCTAGAGGGCGTTCTCACCCGGAACCTCTGAACCCGGGGCCGGCCACAACTGTCACGCAACTGGAGCTCAGTGCGTTGCTGTCATTGAGGCACCCTACGTCCCAAGTCCTAAACCGGAGTTCGGAATTTAGGGTTTAGGGTTTAGGGCTTAGGGCAAAAAGTTTTCAGGCTCAAGTTGTCGAAGGGATTGCCAGTGAACGCTGACAGGCCGCTGGCGTATCCAAACTTAAGCGCTTCAAACATGCCACCAAACCCGAAAGCCTGAACCCCAAACCCTAAACCCTAAACCCTAAAGCCTAAACCTTAAACCCTAAGCCCTAAACCCTAAACCCTAAACCAGCAAGGTTGGTAAAGGAATCGAGGTCCTTGAGCTTGGGGTCGAGGTAGGGCTCTTGCTTACGTAGGGTTCATGGTTCTTAAGGGTTCTTAAGGTAAGGGTTCTTAAGGGTTCTTAAGGGTTCTTAAGGGTTCAGGGACCACGGCCCAGGGTTCTTAAGGGTAGTTTAGGGTAGTAGTCGAGGTTTAGAGTCTTGGGGTTGCGGGCTTGGCGTCTCAGGGTCCCGTACTTGCAGCAGCTTAAAGGTTTAAGGATGAAAAGTAGTTTAGGGTTCAGATCTTAAGCCCCAAACCACCGTAAAACTCCAGCACCCTCAAAACCATCGAAATGGAAACCCAAAAACCCCAAAATGCCCCCAGCCCCCCAAGCCCCGTGAACCCTAAACTTAGGTTGCTTCAGGGCTTAAGAACCCCACAAATTCCTTGTAAGGGTAATATAGGGACTATATATTTGTTGGGGGGGGTTCTTAAGAATATAGTAGTTCAGGGAATGCGTTGGCAAGCCGAGGCGCCAAAGAACCAAAGCCCAGCGGGTATCCCTGGCGCATCGAAGGGGAAAAAACCCTAAACCCTAAACCCTAAACCCTAAACCCTAAACCCTAAACCCTAAACAACAGCAATCAGAAGCAGCACATCTACGCTAGGACCCAGATCCTACATCCAGGCATCCCGACCACTAAGCCCGTAAACCCACAAATCCCAAATGCTAAGCCCCTGAACCCTAGTCAACCCTAAATCCTAGACCCAGAAATCCCAAACACTCAGCCCTAGAATCCCTAGAGCCCTTCATTGGGTTTCGGATTCAGGGCTAATAGGGATAAAT